ATGCATATCCTGCGGCCCTGAACATTACCATGATATTAAAGGAGTACATGTAGGCCCCCACCCCTCTACTGTCAGGTCCTCATGCTTCATCAGGAGCTCAAGGTTAGGGTCCTGCGTGCTTGCTAAGAGGGGGCTGGGGCAGTGAAGTATTGGTTCTTCCTTCCAGGGCATCCCAGGTGGCCCAGCCACTGGTGTACTCTGCAGACTGCCTGTGTGGTCCACTCAGTGGATACGAGCTCACAGGTTCTAGTGGATAGACTATGGCTTTCTCCAGATTGGAATGCCCTTGGCTCTGTACCTGCCCCTGACATCTGATCTAGCTACTGCTTCATCATATTGGTGACCTTAAGGCTAGTGTGACCTCTTGAGGTGGAGTTGAACAGAAGTGGTCTGGAGGTTCCTAAGGCAAGGGCTGGAGTCAGCTGGGCTGATCAGGCCTGAAATTGGCCTGTGTGCTCTGAAACTTGAAGTTGGCAGGGCCCATCAATGTGCCAAGGATTCAGATTCCCTGAAAGTCTGATCTGGGCCAAGTTGTGCTTGTGGCATAATAGTGATCATATTCCAGAACAAATGGGTCTTTATCTTTTCTGAGGAATCTGGGTTATAGGAATCTCCTTGGAATGGCAGGGTAATCCCAGTCACTGTCAATAAACTGCTCCCCTGAATAGGGTTAAGGTTAGAATTGAGAGAGTAGGGGGTGGGTCAGAGCTTGGTAACCCAGACTGGCGGTATTTTAGGACCTGAGCGACTGGATTCCTCACAGGCAGGGCTTTCTACTTAGTGCACTAGAGGGTGTGACTAGTCAGGAAACAGGACCTCTCATGCCTTAGAGACCCCAAGGGATGATTATGGAACGGGGCTTTACTTTAAGATCATATGACTCTTGCTGGTCTAGATGGAGCTAGGAGTTTGGGGATATTCCTAGTCTCATAGCCCTGTTCCTATCCCCAGATCCCATACTACCCTGTCTTCCAAGCAGCCTGAAAGCCCGTTCTCTGAACCATTTATCAGGATTGACATTGCTGTGGAACCACACTGGGCCTAAGGGGATGGGCAGGGATGGGTTAAACCCAGAGCTCCCAGGAGCTCAGTGGAGAACAAAATGAGGGAGGCTTTGAGTCTCAAGTCTTGGTGTTTGGATCTGGAGGCTGTTAGGAGGTGTCTGATGCTGGGAAGGAGGTCTGGAAAAGGACCTGATGAAAGTTCTGGAAATCCAAGGAGAAGGGGAGCAGTGACCAGCCTCTCAGATCCTGAAAGAGCTCTTCATGGGTGCCCACTGGCACTGGAGACATGGTGAGAGTCAAGTGAGATAGGGTTGCAATCCCCCCATTCTTGGCCAGTGGCTTCTCCTGAGAGACCCCTTGAGCTCCATTCCAAGAACCCAGTTATGGAGCTATCACCTCCACTCCTTCAGGTATATAGGGTTCCTACTGAGGTTAGATTCTGTCCTGACACTCATACACCAACATTTCCAAACCTGGGTTTATTGAAACAGCAGGTGCTGATGATCAGCTCCAGACAAGTATCCTCATGCACCCCATTCCCATTGCCCATCCAGAACCTCGCTGGCCCTCCCAGAGCCAGTGAATCCCCACGCCCCTGGCAGTACACTGTTTCCAAGCCTCCTCTGTTGGCATTTCCTGCAGCTCTAACCCTGTGGGAGGACAGGGCCCCAGGGGCTTCTCTTGACCCTCTCACAAGATTCACAAGATTTTCGTCCTTTTTTTTTTTTTTTTTTTTTGACAGGCAGAGTGGACAGTGAGAGAGAGAGACAGAGAGAAAGGTCTTCCTTTGCCGTTGGTTCACCCTCCAATGGCCGCCGCGGCCGGCGCGCTGCAGCCGGCGCACCGCGCTGATCCGATGGCAGGAGCCAGGAGCCAGGTGCTTTTCCTGGTCTCCCATGGGGTGCAGGGCCCAAGCACCTGGGCCATCCTCCACTGCACTCCCTGGCCACAGCAGAGGGCTGGCCTGGAAGAGGGGCAACCGGGACAGAATCCGGCGCCCCGACCGGGACTAGAACCCGGTGTGCCGGCGCCGCTAGGTGGAGGATTAGCCTAGTGAGCTGCGGCGCCGGCCGTAGATTTTCGTCCTTCTATGGATATGATAATGCTCTGTAAGGCTTCCTTGAACTTGGAGAAGTAATTTTGCTCAGTAGTGCAGTTCTTGGGAGAAGCTGTTGGCTAAATCAGAAATACATGTTTAAGTCATCTTCTTAGCAAAAATGAATAAATAAATAAAAGCAAACTCTTATCTTCACAGTTACAATGGACTTGCAAGCCCTCCACCTCCTAGGAGATGACTTGGCAGGGCCCTCCCTGGTCTGACTTGTGGAGAGTACTGGGGGCTGCCTGGGGAGACTGAGACCCAGAGTCAGGATCACCTGTAATCATGGGGAAAGAGCCAGAGGGTTTATGCAGGATCCGTGGCTTCTAGGACAGTGATGTGAGGACAAGCAGACTGGGAGCCCAGAGGACTATGCAAACAGTGGGCAAAGAGAAGAGGCAGCTCAGTCCTTTCCCAGACTTGCCGCCTTACACTACCCTCATCTCCCTGCTAACTCTGTCATGGGCTCCCAGTGAGTTTCCTCAGTCCCAAAGAGTCCCAAGTGTGGGGCACACTGAAGCAGGCTTGGGTCAGGCTGAGTTCATGACCAGTTCTGCTATGACCTGCCTAGAACTGCCCCACATTGACCCCTGTGTGTTGGGGCGGGGGTAGCTTGGCAAAAGGACATAGACAGAAAGCCCCAGAACCACCCTTGAATCTCCATTCCCTCATGCCCCACCCTTCACTCCCATCAGTGGCTGGATGTCTTTTGAATTGGAGTCTGTACTGGATAATAGCCATCAGTGTGGCCCTGGAATAGTCCCTCCTAGCTAGGCCTCCCTTGTGGCAGGGGTGGACTCCCTACTTTGGGGCAGGGAAATGAAGTCTCCGTTTCTCCAGCTGTGAGCTCATTTTTGTGAGTTTTTCCATGTTCTTTTGAACCTTGTTATATGATGTTCTTTTTTATTGTATTTGATAATGAGATCCTTCAGGGTGGAGGTGAAGTCCTTTGTAAATTCCCTGTAAATTCCCTGTGGCAGGGCTTCTGAAATAGTGTTGAGAGCCCTGGGGTGGTAGAGGTATGCAGTAAGCTACCAGCTGATCTGCATCCTAATCCATTCCTGGTTACCCTGCCTGGACAAAACCATAGCCTCATTCTCCCACAGGAAACTCTGGTCCCTAAGAGCCATCCAGTGTGGACAGTGAGTGTTCAGTCTCTCCCTGAGCCAAGGGCTGGGCCAGGATCGTGGCAGGAGAGCCTGGCAGAGCCCAGAACCTGGTCATGGTCATTGGTTCATCTGGTAGTAAACTCTCCATCCTTTGTTTTTTCCTCTTCCCTGGAAGTTGGCTGGTCTGATCCTCCCCTACCCCTTCAGCTCAGTGTGGTCAGACAGGTCCCAGGGGTAGGGGCTGCTTATCTCAGTTGTGGTTTGGGGAGATCTGCTGAAGGGACCCTGGAAGCAAGAGAAGCATCAAAAGCCACTGAAAGCAAAATCCTATTTGATGAAAACCCGGACTTGCCTTGTATGTGTGTCAGCAGAAAATTCTCTCCGAATCTCAGTGTAGATGGCTGTGTAATTCTTATGGGAAGGCTCTTTCACTGAGGTTGAATGGCTTTTCGACCCCCAGAGGACAGAACCCTGGAGCATGTACAGGTTCCTGGCACCACTTGAAGGTGGCTTCAAGCCAGTTTGAGCTCTGGGCTTGGCAGCTTTTCTGTGGAAGGGACACCTATGTATGTGGGTCTACGTAAATGCTTAGCCTCTTATCAGTCATCACTGGCTTATGAGGAAGATTAGAGAGGTCCTTATCACTGGGCAGGATGTGCTTTTCATTCATTTTCAATGACCACAGCACATCTCATGGATTCTTGTCTTTGCTAAAATTCACCCGTGGTCTAAGACTTTCTTTGTCTAAGACTTTTTCGTGTGTAATCACATCAGGACTCTACTGAGCCCAGGGGGTGGGACAGGAGGTAGGCCATGGGTCTCTGGCCAGGACTGGGACTGTCAGCAGATGCAGGGTGGCACACAGAGGGCATGGTGGAATGATGGGTGCACAGCTGTTAGAGGGCCACAGGCTGCTTCCCAGCCAACTGAATATGACCTGGACCCTGTGTCCCTTCCCCTGGCCCGTTCTCTCAGGGCTTCAGCCAGATAGACTGTTTCGGGAAAAAGAAACCTAACAAAGGAGAAGGCTGGCGCTGCTGACAAACTGAGCCTAGGGGATGCACCCACGTCCAGTCCCAGAAGGGACACAAGTAGCAAACTCAGGACCAAGGCCTTTAGCCTGGTCATCGCTGAAGGAGTAGCATGAGGCTACCTTCTCCTCATCCTGAAAGCAGTGGATTTAGGAGCAGATGCCTGATGGCTTTCCAACTTCATGTAAAAATAAAAATAAAACAGTTCAGAACAATGCTAGAGGCATGTCCCACTGTGAACTAACATTGTGACTGTCAAAAATTGAAATCATTCTGGAGAAAGTTTGGTGAATAGGCTGAGTCCTGACCCCTGTGGTTTGGTTTCTTTCCCCTGAGCAGTGAGTCTGTTTGCTGATCTACCTTAAGAATGACTGAAGCCCTGGGTGTGGGACATGGGGTCCATAGCCTCCCAAGGGGATTTTTCCCAGTGCCAGGGTGGGCCTGTTCATCCAGTGATAGGCAGACATGAGGCCCTTTCACTTGGACTTCCATCCAGGTGAGCCTGGGGCAGGGGCCATTGGGAATCCAAGGATATACCCCTAGGGGAGCACCTTGATCCACCTAGGCCCAGCTTCCTCCTCTGATCAACTGTGAAAGCATTGTCCCTGGCATAGTGCCCCACAACCCCAGCCCCTCAGGCCCTGGGCCCCTCCCACTGCCTGGCCAGCCTTCTCCCTTCCTTGCCCCCTGGGGCTAAGGGGCACCTTCAGCATTTGCTCATGGTTGAAAATAAATCAGCACACTGCATAAATAAAAGTAAGCTTTAAATAATTTATTATTATGTTAAAACACCTCAGATAAATATGGAGTATGAACCTAAATAAATAAATAAATAAATATTTTTACAAACATAAATATATAAATAAATATTACTGATTCCATACATTATCAGACATACCCCCTTCCTCTACCAGGCCCATAACTGGGTCAGTGTGGTCCAGGGCAGGTCCATGCTGTCCCCACAGTGGCCCCTTGGTCCCTCCAACACGAAGATCCTGAGTTTTTGGCTCTTTTGGGTGGGAGAGCAGTAGTCTCTGAGGTCAACAACCAGGGCTGGCCTGGCTAGCCTGCGCTTCCTCACTTCTGGACTGGCTCCCAGCAGTTAAAGGGGATGACAAACAGAAAGCACTTCAGGTTCTCTTTGAAACTTTTGAAGGTGATAAACTCGGTCTCACAGGAAGTTTCCTTAAGAAAAAATGAAAAATAAAAAACACTTGAGTACAGGCGAGTGGGTGCCATGGGAAAGCAGTAATGTGTTTCTGCACTCTCTAAGAACTGCAAGGCTGGAAAGTCCGTTCTGGGAGTCAGGTCATACTGTTGCCACCCATGTGTCACCTGAGGGGTCACAAACATAGCTCTACCAAAGGCAGCTGGGACAAGGGGCCTGAGAGAGTGCCAGTCGAGGCTACCCCCTGTCCAGGCCGACCACCCCTGTGATCCCAGGCTAAGGTGGAGCAGTTGGATTGAGGCTGGCTCCCGGTACTCAAAAAGAACAAGATTCAAGGCCACAGACCTCACTTTGGTCCCTTAGAAAGAAAGGGGTATTTGGGACCTTTGTCTATTCCAGGCGGGCCTCTTCCTTGTTCCCATGCAATCCAGGTACCCCACGTGAGGCCAGGAGAAAGTCCTGTTGGCAGATAGCATCTGGGCCCTGTACCTTGAGACTTTGGGCAGGCTCTGAGTTTCTTTGGGTTTCTCTCACCTTTGACTTCATTAATGATAACAACAGTGATAAAAAGGATGGTCACAGCTCCCTGGCTTTAACTCTGAGGGATGATTCTGGACTGGCTGCCCCCTCACTAGAGGTACTCATCAGACTCTTCAGGGTCCTGACTGCCATGGCCAGGGGTCTCTCCCAGCCTGGGGATTTTCCTGCTTGGTGCCCTGTAGTGCCACTTACCGGGGTTGGGGGACAGTTTTGCTTGTAGTGGCTGGCCATCAAAGTCAGGGTACTCGAGAGCCGCTCCAGGCTGCCCCGCAGGCCTTGCTTGTACAGTTCCAGGCGGGTCTGCAGGCAAGTTGGTTTCTGTGGGAGTATCCATTCTTCTGTGAGCAGAGTATGAACAAGGGCCCACAGTGGGCACAGGACAGCCTCTCCATGACTCCATCCTGTTTCTACTCCAGACCCTAAGAGTAGGGCCTGGGAGAGGCACAGGCTGAATCCCAACTAGTCTCAGGCTGGCCCACTCAAACACGCTGCCTCATCTACTATGGGTATGCATTGCCTCCTTCCTGCCCAGCTTGGGCCACCTCAGTTGGCACAGTCATCTTCCCTTATCCTGGTACCTCCAAGAGGGTCCCAGTGCCCAGGGGAGGAGCTCACTTATACCCCCACATCACCATTCAGGGAGAAGATAGGGTGAGGCCTCACCTGAGCCCACGAGTAAGGCTTGTTTCTGAAAACCCCCTGCAGTCTGCACCCTGTGTCCACAGTGAGCCCTTGAGTGTTAGGTCTGCCTGTGGCTGCTCAGCTGATAAAGGAACTCACGTGACTGCCACAGGGGCGGTCTGAGGCAGCACAATGCTGGCTCCCATCCTGGCAGCCAGCTGCCGGGAGAGAAAGTAGACAATCCTGTGAGGGTCCATTTACAGTGAGTCCCCCACCCCTGCAAAGGTAGAGAACCCTGGAGAGGTGTGTCAGAGAGAAGTGTCTTACCTGAGGATCAAACATTTCAGAGACGACTTCTACCATTTCGCCCTGCAGAGAAGGAAAATGTCACTTTTCTAGCTGACAGGACAAGGCTGGGGCCAGCGGGTGGCCCAGGCACAGCCACACTCCCCCCCCACTCACCGGCACAGCGGCAGAATCGTTACTGCGGCTCAGGATGATCCGGGCCTCCTTGATGGCATCCACATGCTTCAAGGGCTGGCTGACAGTGTTGGGCTGGTGGGTGGGTGCAGAGATGGTGCAGACCACACTGCCTAGGAGGAACAGGTTCTGCAACCACATCCTCCTGAGGACTTTAGCCTTTCTCTCTGAGTACTGGGCTCACTGGCAAGAGAGCTTTTATATACACAGTTAGAGGAAATGATTAATGGTGACCACAAAACACCAGGGAGGCGGGGGAACTACCTGAACTGTGGAATCTCCTGGCCCTTATCAGCTACACATGGGGACAGTGAGCCTTTTCCTAGGTGGTCACCTCAGGGGTTTTCATTAATGAGCCCTTCCACGAACCTGTAGCCACCCGCCTGCCTCCTTGAGCCCTCTCCAGCCCCTCTGTGGGCAATGCCTAGGGAGAGACCAGGCCCTAGGCTGACCCTCCCTTTGGAGGGCCTCCAGGCATGGCTTGGCCTTCCTGGCCTGGAGTGGCTGGGGCACAGCAAGGGAGACCCTAGATTGGGCTCCTGCTCCAGGGTCCCCTTCCTGCCTGCTATCTCAGGAGGCCTTGGGTGGGCCGTGCCGACCTTGGTGTCCCTTTCCAGGTTCAGGCTTCCCCTTCTCCTCTGGTCACCGTGAGAGATTTGAGTACAGTTCTCATAGGCCTGTCCCACTGTTCATTTATGCAGAGTCCAATGAAATGGCACAGTCCTATGACGGGTTGTGCAGGCTCCCATCAAGGACCTACAGCAGTCAGAAGCTCAGCCCAGCCAGGAACCCCTACCTCTGTGAGCAGAGGCAGTGACATCCAGTGCACATCAGCCAGTGATGTTGCGGTGCCTTCCTCCAGGGTGAGGCCCAGCTGACAGTTGCTGTCCGGGTTTACCCAGCAGGGGTGAGTTGGGGCTCTCAACTGGGGCAGATCAGGGCTCTGAGTTCAACTCCTGGCTCAGCACCCTCAGGTTGAGTGACACTTACCTCTGAGCTATGTGAGCCTTGTCGCCCTCTGCAGGGCAGGTTTCCCTCTCAGGTGGGCACTATATTCCCACCCACAGTCCCCAGCAGCAGGAGCTTCAGGGACGGACTGCAGAGCTGCGCCTGTACTGTACAACATCCAGGGAACAAAGGCTTTTCCAGCAAGGTCTTGTAGACTTCATTTCCTGCATGGCCCCAGCTCCAACCTACTTGCAGCTCTAGCGGCCTCCCTTTGGGAGCAAGAACTGCTTCTGGAAAACCTACAGGCTCTTGAGGGGCTGACAAGTGTTTGATTTTCACAATGGAGTTCAGAGGGGACAGCACAAGTTTGTGTTTGCACAAGGGATCCGGCTTAAGCCGCCCAGGACCTCAAATTCCATGGCCTCAGGGCATAGGTCCATGTGTACCCTCTTCCACCAAATGCATGCCAATGCAATGGATACACTTCCGTGTGTCCTGGAGGGGAGGATGTTTTACTGGAAGGTGCATCCTTGTGAGCCCTGACTTCTGTCACCTCCAGAGGTGCCCCTCACTCTAATAAGGGGGAACCTGGATGCCATGTTTCTGATTCAGCTTTGACTGATGGGGTTGAACACCAGGGAAGACCATATCCTAGCTCAGGTAGACAAGGCCTCAGAGAGCAGGAAGCACTGGTGGCTGGGGCTGGGTACTGTGGGCTGAGTCTACTGTGACAAGTTTCACTATACAGTGGCGCAGTTTTACTGCCTGAGCTCTTGAAGCCAGTCCTTAGTCCTGCAGATTTCCCTGGGGCTCCCTGCCAGCCTCTGGGACCCACCATGAGGCCATCCCTGCCCTCTGAGCCTGGCAGGGGGTGTCAAGGTGGTTGGGCCAGGGTGGGAGCATGACCTGGCCAAGGCCTAGCCCTTCTCCACCCTCTCCATGAGGCCTTTGCTCAACTCCCTCCAGGAAGCTCTTGGGGGGCAGAGGGAAGACAAGGGTACTACAGAGAGATACTACATGGAAGGGAGGTCTGTGTCAGTTCCCTGGAGGCTTAGGGGGCAGGGAGGGGAGCCATAGCTGTGGGCAAGGTAGGGAGGGGGAGCTGGAGTGGCCCCTGGATGGGAAGTCACTTTCCTCTTGGAAATGAATCATCATGGCTCAGTCAGCAAGCCTGTCTTCCAATCCACACCAGCCCTGTTGATGTGGGGTTGGAGGGTACCCTCTGATGGGCCTCACACCTGGCCTTTGAGGCTAGAGGTCTGGCGGGGAGACAGGCTGCAGTGGGCCCTCCCATGGTAGGGTCTGAGCTGGGATGGGGGAGTTCAAAGTTGAAGGATTCCAAGGAAACACATTCTGAAGCTTGGGATTCCAGGGATCGGAAGGCTTCCTGGGAGACACTGTCTGCCAGCAAGTGCTGGGCAGGCGGGAGTCATGTGGGCAAGTTAGGTTATGGGAAAGAAGAAAAGGAAAAGATAGGGGCCACAGTATTTGCAGCACAAAGAGGCCTAGAGTGTCAGAGCATGGTGAAGAGGAGGCAGGTTCCAGAGAGATGTGAAAGAGCCTGGTGATGTAGTGGACTCACCTACTCCTTCAGTGTTTATTGAGTACCTGTCGGGTTCTCAGCAGGGAAGAGGGATACAAGGATGATAGACAGAAGTCAGGGTCCTGCCTTCAAGGCCTTTGTAACTCCACTGATGGAGTGATGTTAACCTCTCAGCCTCCTCCCCCAAAGTATGCTTTTGAAAGTCGGAGAGTTCGAATCTCAGTCTGGGTGTCCAGGTGGGAACTGAGGAGCTGAAGGAGCAGGTTTTCAGGGCCCACAGGTCCAAGAATAGTTTGAAACCACTAGAGGTTACACACAAGGTGATGGGGACCGGGATGGTCCAGGTGCCTGTGAGTGCTGAGGCCATGGAGAGATGTTCCAGTGGCAGGGCTGAGGTCTCACAGCTGTGTTTAAAGCTGTTGAGGGGCGTGGAGCTGCTGGCTACAGGCTAGTGGCTCAGGACCCTGGCAGGGCTGGGAAGGGGAAAGCAGGAGCACAGGAGAGGTCCAGGCTGGCCGCATGGCCTCTGGCGCCCAAGGCAGCACATGCAGGATGGAGCTCCACGGGCTTGGCAGTGAGGTTTGTGGGCAGCCGTATATTCTTCTCCTGGAAAGATGACATCAAGCCTTGGCCATGACACAGGCAGGCATTCCTAGATTGCACCGCATGGAAAGAAGTGGCAACAGATAGCATCAGGTGGCCGCAGTGACTCAGGGCCTCCAAGGAGCTGTGGCTAGGCTGGGGTGGGGGCCGTGATGAGTGATGTCACCCTCTTTGGCCCCCTTCCCACAGGGCCAGGAGAAAGCCCTCTGGAAGGAGTTTCCTGTGTGTGTCCTGCCCACAGGCCCTGGAGGAAATGAGGACTTGTACCGCAAGGATCTTCACCACCAGAGGAAGTAAGTTATCACAAGCAGAAGGAAACCACCTCCCCAGTCCTGTGGGACATCTTCATAGGTACCTCAGGTGACAAAATCCTTCCTTATACCTGCTACCCCCTGGTGGGCGTCTCAGGAGTCTAGTACATGGCCCAATCGCACATTCACTGACAACAGAAGCAGGGTTTGAACCTGCCACTCAAATGTGCTCTACTATCTTGAGGGTCAGAAGTACTGGTCATATGGCTGGACCCACAGAGTGGTGTAAGGGGTGTGCTTCTCCCCATCAGAGTACCTGAAGAGGGGTACTCCTGCCAGGAGTTGGAGAGGGACTGGAGTGGCCTGTGACTGACCTGGGGAAGCCTGGGGGCTGAAGGCAGAATTTCCCCAACAGCTCCTGTCATCCAGTTGTCTACACCCCAGGCTTTGGCACTTGCCTGTGCCCAGCCACATCCAGTTCCTGGGTAGCCCAGGAAAATCTTGAGCCCAGCTCCCTCATCTGTACAATGGACTCATTATCACTGCCTCCTTGAGGAAAATGCTGTCCAAGAAACGCTGTGGGAGACTCCTAACAGGGAGGTGGCAGTGCCTCAGCCCCTCCTACCATTCGTGGGATTTCTGAAGCCCAAACAGGGCAGCAGACCAAGTTGCTCTGGAATTTTCAGGGATAGCTGCCCCTTGCCCAGGCCCAGTCCCAGAGAGCGTCTTTCTGGACAGATGTGGTGAGGTGGAGAGCCCAGTTCCTGTCAATCCAGGCTCCACCAGACCCATAAAGCAACATCTCTGGCCTTCGTGGTTCCAGCTTTAGTCTTGTTCCTCCCATATCTCCTTGTGGCACCATGAAACGGCCAGGCTTCCCTTGGCCACCTTTGGTTCTGCTCCTGTCCCCTGGGTGGTCCTAGCTCTGTGAGTCCTGAATGTTCTGAGGGATCTGAGGGTGGTTAACCCCAACCATGGGTGAACATAGCATCCATTCAGCCAAGCTTCCAGGAGAGTCTGCTGTGGTATGGACCCCATAGATCCCTTGCTCCCACAAGTCTGTGTGGTCCCAAGAGATAGGGACAGGGACAGTGAGGCCCAGACTTTCAGGTACAGTGTCAAGGGCACCAAGCAAGATGAGCACAAGGAATGAGCTGCCACATGGAGGTGGTTGTGAAAGGGGAGTAATGCACATTAACAGAAGGCATGGAGGGGACTTGTTGGGGCTGCGGGTGTGGGGCAGAAGGTGAATGAGGAGTCCCTGGTGCCCAGGGCTCTGACTCAGGGAGCTGGACAGACTCACTGTTTCCCTCAGCATCTCTCTCCCTCTGTCATGGCTCCTCCCTGTAAGGTTGGACACACAGGTCTGTTGCAGCCCCCTCCCTGTACCCATCTGTGCTCCTCTAATCAGTGGAGGGTAGACATGCTCTTCCATTTGGACAAAAAGCTGTCATATTTTTAAAGTTAAAATAGAATTCCTGGCTGATTTTTCTTTAAAGAGAAGTAGGATATATTCAAGTTGGAAACCTGCCAGTGTGGCAAAGAGAGGGGTTCCAAGGGAGGAAGACCCAGAGGGCTGCTGGTAGTGGGGTTTTTAAGCACAGTCTTGGGGAAGAAACTTTCAATCAATACAAGGTGGGGACAAACCCATCAAAAGACCTGATTTATATTTTAATATAAATTTTATTTGACCTTGTCTGGCTTGCTCACGATAAAATAAAGAACCATCAGAAGGATGGGGATACCTAATCCTGGCTGATTTTAATGTAATCAATTTCCCTGCTGAAGAGGCCTGCTGCTGCTTTAGGGTGGGGGTGGGGGACTCAAGGTAGTAGAGAGGTTTGAGGGGTTTAGCCAGACTGGAATGGCCCTGGCACATTTAAGAGGTCAAGGGACTCCAGGAAGACCTAGTGAGTTGTGGCCATCTGGGCCCAGAGGCAAGGGCACCAAGACATTTGGAGGTCATCAGTACAGAGCAGGTTCTCAAAACCTGAGGAGCTATAATGTGCCGGCTGGGGTCGTGCCAAGGGAGGCTGACTTTTAATGACAGGCCAAATACAGTGGTATCTCCTTGTCTGCTTCAGGATGCAGAAGCTGTGCCTGCCACATACATTCAGGCATACCGCAGGTGCCTGAGACCTGTCTATGATGACATCTTTGCTGCATGTGCCCATTACTCTCCCTGTGCACTCCCTCCAGGGATTGGCATTGCACTACATTCCCCTGAATCTCTGTCCTTAGTCCTAGCCCTAGCCAGGCTGATTATCAGGCTCTCAGACGGAGCTATTGCCTTTACTGCCTCCTTGGGAAAGCTACTGGGGACTGCATTGAAAAAAAAAAAAAAAAAAGAACATTAAAAGGGGAGGACATTTGGCCTAACAGTAGGATGCTGATCACGACGCCTGCATCTCACATCAGTGTGCCTGGGTTTGATGCCTATCTCCTACTTTGACTGCTGTCTCCTGCATACTGATAAATTACACCCTGGGAGGCAGCAGCAAGTAATTTGGTTGCTGCCTCTCATGAAGAGACCTGGAATGAGTTCCCAGCTCCCAGTATAGGCCTGTCCCATCCCCAGCTATTGCAGACATTTGGGGAGTAAACCAGTGGATGAGAGAGAGTTTTGTTGCTCAAATTAGTACATTTTTAAAAGATAATTTTAAAAAACTAAAAGGATGAGAAGTCAGGAGACTAGAAGCCTTGGCAACTTTATGAGGTCCTGAGGACTCCCCTACCTGCCCTGTTTGTTGGGGGTTGGGATCTAGGCTTGGCCTATGAGCTAGGGAGAGCCACAGACCCTTGCTGGGCTCCCACATCTACTGTCCTATGTAACTGATGGACCAGAATCAAGGTGGCAGAAAGACTTCCAAGACTCTTCCAAGACTTTTCTAGATTTCCCAGCCCCCCCCCCCCACTTCCTTTGGCCCTCACTCTGCCCTGCCCCCTGGTACACACACCTTCCTCACTCTCTCCCTCCCACCAAAGATCCCCTGTCCTCCTGGACAGCCCTCATCTTCCCCAGCATCTCTTTCCCTCTGTTGTGGCTCCTTCCTGTAGGATTAGACACACAGGTCTGCTGCAACTCCCTCCCATGCCCACCTCTGCTCCCCCAATCAGTAGAGGGTAGACAAGTTCTTCCGTTTGCCCTGCCAACAAAAATCTGTTGAATTTTTAAAGTTAAAATAAAATTTCTGATTGAATTGTAATGTAATCAACTTCCTTGACAGAGGCATCTTGAATGTAGGGTGATAGGGACCTTGGCCTTCTACTGGCCATGCTGGGATTTACAATGGGGCATTACTGCCCCCTGGTGCCATTGGGGCTGTAGACCTGGCACGAAGGCAAGTCATGGTGGGAGAAAAGAGATGAACCTGACATACCTGCAGGGGACATGTGAGCCACCACTCCCTGCTCTGCAGTGGCCTCCCATGGAGTCACGGAGTTATCAGCCCTTCCCTGTCATTCTATTCTAGCTGCTATAACAAAATAGCATAAGTTGATGACTCAAACTTATTTCTTATAGTGCTGAAGGTTGGGAAGTCCAAGATGAAGGCTCTGACAGACTTGTTTGCTGGTGAGTCCTCGCTTCCTGGTTTGTGGATAGCTTACTTCTCACATGCCCTCACATGGTGGGAGGGTATGAATGGTCCTTCTGGGGGTCCCTCTTTAAGTATACTACTGCCATCCATGAGGGCTCCACGCTCTTGAATAGCTACCTCCCAGAGACCCCATCTCCAGTTATAACCACACTGGGTATTAGCTGTCAAAACACAAATCTGGGTGGGGATGTGGGGACATTAACATTCAGGCTGTAGCCCATGGAAGTGTCCCCAGCCTGACCAAGGACCAGTCATCCCTTGGTTCTGGGTTTTGGTAAGCCTGAGTAGGCCGGGCAGAAGGTCATCTCTGACCTTGACTTGGCTCCAGGCCTGCAGGCAGGGCTACTCCAGAAGAAGGGCTGTGAGGAGCCCCTAGAACATCTGAAAAGGCCCAGGCCCATCAAGCAAGTCACTGCTGCTGCCATTCCCTTCTTGCCCTGGTCCTGTCTCTGACCAACCTCCCTCAGGCCTGCTGATACTCCCTCACCACATACAGCTCTGACCTAGCCACTAGTCCATGCCCATTACAGGCATCAGTCATAGCACAGGCCCTGGCAAGTCCCCTCTACCCTTGTGCCCAGCTGAGGCCTTGGGTGAGAAGGGGGAGAGAATGAAATGGAGCTGTGGCTTCCTGCAGAATCCTCTCTCATCAGAAGTCTGCTTTCTGTCCTGTGGAGGTCTCTGCCCATTTCAGCTTCCCCAGCTCTGGCTGGCTGCTGCTCCCTCTGTCCAGAGCTCTTTCCCCTCTTAATTGTCACATGACCAGCACTTCCTCAGAGATGCTTCCCAGACCAGCCAGTCTAAAGCAAGCCCTCTGATTTCTGATTCACTGCCTGGAGCATGAGTGGGTGTCTTCACTGGAGGACAGCCAGGCAAGGGGCAAACTGGCACCTGCTGGCTCCCTGCTTGCTTCTCAAGTGCAGGAAGCTCTGGCAGCTGGTGAGAGGCTAACGAGACCCCAGGGTGTCTTTTTGGCAGCATTTGTGATTGCAATGGTATACATTTTTCTACCTGGGCAGTTTCAAGCTGTAGATAACTTGAAAATTGGATGGCAAATTTATCTAAGTCTATACAGCTGATTCTGTGAGCTACTATGAGCTGGTCCCAGCCCACCAGGGACTCTGGGCCACCAGGTCTTCAGGGGACAGGGTGTGGGAAAATCCACAGATCAAAGGAGAAGGGTGTTGACCCGCTCTGCAGGAGATGAAGAGAGGTGACAAGCAGTGGCTCATCATGGGGACATATCAGTGGGGCACAAATGCTACCCCAGCCAGTGTGAAAATAAGTCCAACCAGTTGCAGGAGGAATGATGGGTTGAGGGGTGGAGGGGGCGGGAGCTCTGAGGAAGCCAGACCCAGACATGCCCCATCTGTTTCCAGTGCCCTGTGGCAACCTCCCCCAGTGGTCCTGCAGCAGCATCTCCCGTTTTTAGTCCTGGGAGGAACGAAAGCTGCTGCTGCTGTTTCTGGAAAGACCACTAGAGGGAGGCATTCCACAGGGTGAGAGCACTCCAAGACTGCACCTGTGTTAGAAAAGGGAGCTGCACGATTAACTGGCTGCGGGACTCTGGCAAATTGCTTAGGCGCTCGGAACCTGTTTTCCCATAAAACAGAAATAACATTCTCTTGATTGCAGTGAGGCATAAGTTAGCACAGGTGAAGTACTCAGAACAGAGCCTGGTAGCTGGTTAAGAGTTCTGTGGGAACTGGCCATGGCCAGGCTTGTCACCACCTTTCGGGGCATCAGGACAGTGGGAGGCAGTGTCAGATCACAAAAACGTCAGGCCCACGAAGGGTCACTGAGAACTGAGTCAAATTGAGACACTAGTGACAAAGCTGTTGTTGGGAAGGTCTGGTTTATTTTCACACCTGCACGGAAACTGGTTGAGAACCTGAGGTGTAAATGAACATGGCCCCTAGTTCCACTCTGAGTTTTCTCAGAAGGAGCAGGATATAGCTTAAATAAATACACTTCACGTTGCAGAATATGATAAATAAATAAATACATGCTTAAATAAATAGCCTTAGTAGGATACAAATAAGAACATAATTGCACAAGGCCAATTGGGAGCTGCACATTTCAGAAATTAGATAATGAGCGACTCATCTAAGGCCCCAGGAGAACAGGAAATCCTTCCGACCCAGTAGAAGGTATCCCAGGATCTTCAGTCCTGCGACTGGAACACTTCTTGGCCTTGTGCTGTGGAAGTTTGCAGTGGGCATGAGCACTCAGGCTGGAGGTTCTGGGGTTTTGTGTGTGTGGTAGCGCTGCAGAAAGTATATTCAGGTAGTACTTCAGTTTGTTACTGAAGTCTTCCCAGTCACAGTCCTCAAAACGGATGGGGTTTCCCTGTAAAGGAATCAGGGATTTTGCAGTGAATCAAGGCTGTAAGGGGGTGAGAAGCTTAGGGCTGGGTTGCGGCTGAGGCTGTCGCCTGCAGGGGCATGGGAGGGAACAGCTTACCTTGGCTATGGTTTGGGGCAGGCATTGCTCAAGGCTCTGTGGAAAGGGATCAAAGCAGACAGTCAGAGATTCCCCCTAAAAAGGAGTAGGCCTTGCCACCCTCCTTCCCAGAGGCTGGTCATAGACCCTCCAAACCCTCGACAGCTTTACACACCTTGAGATTTTTCAAAACATTTGATGTGTTACCCTTGAAAGTCTCAAGAGCTTCCTGGAACGCACACAGGTTTGTCTTCAGAAGGGTCTGGTTCTATGGGAGTAGAGAGGGAATTATCAGAGTAAGGGGTGCCTGGTGGGAGGGGCTTCCCACAGCCAGACCGGAGTTATCACAAAACTTCCCAAGCCTCCTATTCCTTTCCTTGCCACAGGCGGATCCTTGAGCTACTCCAAAAAATAGGCCTGGAAGTGGTTGCACACTCCAGGAGGGCCCCCTTCCCCTAAGCCCCTGGCGCCACAAGAACAAGCTAAAGGACTTGGATAAATCTTTCATGAGGAAGCTGCACAAAAAGCAGAGTGTTGGCTGAGGGGGCTATCTGTTACGAAGAAGCTGGTTGTGGGGTTAATGCCTTGGCTGAAGCAAAGGACCCTAGAAAGGGGGTGGACGTTTGGTACAGGGATTAAGATGCTGACTACGATGCCTGCATCCCATATTGGAATGCCTTGGTTCTCATTCTGGCTCTGCTTCTGGTTCCAGCTTCCTGCTAATGTGTACACTGCTAATGTGTACACATAGTGCCACCCCATATGGGAGAACCAGATTGGTTTCTGAGCTCCTGGCTTCAGCCTAGCCCTGTCCTGGCTGCTGTAGGTATTTGGGGAGTGAACCAGTAGATGGAAGTTATCTGATTCTCTGCCTTTCAAATAAATGAAATACAAAATATGAAGATAAACTCCCTTAGAGGTGCCAGTGTTGCTGCTGCCTGCAACACTGACATTGCATATGGGTCCTGGTTCAAGACCCAGCTGGTCCACTTCCCATCCAACTCCTTGCTAATGTGCCCAGGAGAGCTGCAGAAGATGGCCCAAGTGCTTGGGCCACTGTACCTACTTGGAAGTCCTGGAAGAAGCTCCTGACTCCTGAGTTTGACCTGGCCCAACACCAGCCGTTGTGGCCATTTGGGGAGTGAACCAGCAGATGGAAGATCTCTCTTTCTCTCTTTGCGTAACTCTTGAGTTTCAAATAAATAAATAAATAAATACATCTTTTTAAAAAAAAGTCTCTTAGAAATCAGGAAGGAAATTCCAGAGACCTTAGCATGATGCAGCCTGTGAACTGCAGGTGCCCAAGAGAGAGGAAATAAAAATGGCTGACAAACTCAGGAAAGACTTCAAGTTCTTGTTTGACCCAAGATGTGCCATACAGAGGTGAGACAGAGGACTGCAGCCAACTGAACTGGGCAAAATCCCTGGGATGGCTAAAACCCAGGGCTGGTGAAGGTAGAATGGTAGACTCAGGTTTTTTTAAGGGACAGGAAGGAAGCAGACAAATTCAAAGAGGAAATCTTAATCTGCCTCTCCAGGAGCTACCCTGTTAAGAACTGAACTTAAGAACCTCCACATGGTTCGCCTATGGCCGCCTGTTCATTTTATGATATAAGCAGTCATTTTTGTTACTATAGTCCTGGCTGGAGCTATATATCAAACACCTAAGTGTCAGAATCTTTTGGTTCTCCTGACAACCCCATTGAGATAGGTCTGTTAACCCTGTTTTACAGATGAAGAAACCAAGGTTAGTCAAACTAGGGTGAGATGTACTGGGTGTGCCAGTACTCCAGGGCTGAGCTCTTACCTTCAGGATCTGTTTATCGTCATCATGAACAGAGTCCTGTGGGGGCAGAAGGAGCAAGAGTTATGAGGACTGTTGGCCTGAAGCACTCACCAGCACCTCCCTGCCCTTGAACAGCCTTATCCCAGCCACTCACTTTCAAGAACAAGGGTGAAAGCATGCTGAGATCATGTGCAATTTCATCGATGGTCGTATCACAGTACTCCTGGGCTATGGGAGCTTGGAGCCCAAGGCTGAACAGGAGCAGGAGCAGGTGCAGGACAAGGAGGCTGCTTGTGTTGAGGCTGGCAAGATGCATTCTGTCTTGTCCTCGGCCTCCGTGGGATTCTGAATAGTCTCCTCCAGCCTCTCCACCTTATATACACAGTGACAGTTCACCTACACCAAGGCCGAGGGGTGCAGCTACCGGCCTCAGGTGGATCTTTATCTGCCATGGAACCTCCATAGAAAACCACAGACTTATTCATCAGCTCTCAAGATCAGCGAAATGGGACGAAAGATGACTTAAACGGTTTCTCCTCCTCTTGCTGACAAGGACATGAGATGGGCAGAGGCGAGACAAGTGATGGACCCCATGGAGAGGTAGGGAGCAGGCTGACTCCGAGCTCACCCAGGCCTCCTGCCCTCTGGGACCTCATCCTGCCAGTCCTGACATACTGATCCTCACTGCCTACCTTAGCCAGTGCTGCGTGCTGCTGGCGCTGCTGGGTGGCCAAGTGAAAGTCCCCT